TGTGCGACTTCATAGCTCAATTGGTCAGAGAATCCCGTTGAATCACCTGATTTTTTCAGCTTCCTGAGATGATTGCTTGGATTGTCCAGCAAAGTGCGAAGATCATATCTTCATTTAATACACCGAGTCGTTGTGTTAAGGCAACAATGCTTCTGCCAGGCTTCAATATTATTATACTCTAAGTTTCAAAGTGTACAGGAAACACCGTTAAGATGTACATTTACACAAATTTTGTTTAAACAGACAAGATACACCTCTTAAAGAGTTATAATACCATTTGAGCAGGGGCTGATCTAGAGTATGTCAAATCCGCCGCGCGACTGATGTTTGAAATTCAAAAATTACCTATTCATATTAATTAAAAACTCATTAATTTTTCATGATCACTAAGTAATTTTTCTGATGATCATTAAAATTTCTAAACTAAATTATTTCAGATTTACATTTAACCAAGCTTTGATCATATGAAAAGATATTTATCATAACCAGTAAGCATGACACATGAACTAATTTTAACATTCATGTAATTATATAATTAAAGGCATGTTGGTTACATTCTGTTTATATTGGCAAATACAATGCTACTGGTAATTTCTATATAGCACACCTTGCACAAACTTACAGAAGATAATAGTATAGTGAAATGTCTAATAAATATTTATGGCATTAAGCTGTCCTTAAATGCAAATTTTCACTATGATAATTTTTGCTTAATCTTTGGCGGCAAAAAATTTTGAGTTTTTTATTAAAAAGTGAATTTGCTGGCATTGATGTGGAGATGAGTAAAGGGTTACAATAAACTTGCATGGTTTGAAGTCTGAGCTTTTCGATATCTATGAACTGTCACTTGTAGTACCAAATGTCTAACTTAACTCATTACATAGAGTTTTGAATGGGGTCTCTAGGGGGGTCTATACCTAACAACTTGGTAGAAATTTTTAAAGACTATATCTGTTTTTCAATCGCATTATTGTAATATCAATTTTACGTTCCTAGACATGCTAATGACCCATATATATTTGGCATGATAATGAGCCTAAATATTTGGCAAAACATTCAAGTATTTTTCACTTCGTTTTTTTTTGAAAAAAACGTAAGCAAAATGTGTTGTTTTTACGCAAAAACGATGCCCACAAAATACATTTTGTATTGCTCTAAAATGCTGAAAATGGCATTTTCAAGGCTCTGAAATTCAAAATTTCTCAGGGGAGAATGCCTCAGACCCCCAAGGTGCGGAGCGCTTCCTACGTTTTATGACTGATGTTTAAAAAATCCTAGATTCGCCCATGCATTTGAGATGTATTTTTTAGAGTTTGTTTCAACCACATAGGATGCAGACGACAAACATTGACTTGGTAAATTTTCGTAATCATTTTTTTGTTCATTCCACATCAAATTTTCACATTCTCCCCCGATAAAGAGATGGCATTCCCCGACAGGGGGCTGTAGCTTCCCTCGGCTGTATCGCATTTGGGAGTGAGTATTTAAACCATAATAGATATTGTTGCTTGTTCTATAGCTTGCAATCGTTTGTCAAGTTTTGTCATAAACCGAGCAGAAATTCGACAAAATTAACAAGACCATACTAAAAATAGTGTTTATTAGTGTTCATGTAATATATAAAGCCGTGAACTATTTAGGTCTTAAATTGTTTGATCTTGTTTATCTTACATCATTCGGATATCTCATTGAAGTTATCTCTTATAGATATTATACGAAGAAAAAATTAAAAATTGAAAAACGTTCTATCGTTTGCTTGTAAAGAATAAAAAGAGTAAATGGCCACCTGTTTTGTGAATGCCCTGTCTATGTATCTTATATTGTATGATATTATTAGTAGTCAAGCATATAAGTGAAGAAAATTGAGTAAAAACTTACTATACCTAGGGACAATTTTATTTTATGCTAGAATTGCAGTTAAACATCTTTAAAAACCGTCTGAATTAGTCGGCCAGCAAAAATGGTCTGGAAAAGGCCGACTAATAACTTTTAATGACAGCGCTTGGTTTGTTTTGAGAACGCCACGATTTTGAATAATTTTGCAGGAAGAGGTGAGACTTAGCTATTTTCATCAGCGGCACCTTAGTATACATTATATAAGCGATCGAAAAATTTTATGTTCGCCTGGCATGTTAAATTGGTTGCATGTATTTTCTGACAAATCATGTCTAAAAAGGAAAAAATATACCGTTTGAAGTTGATGTGAGTATTTCACCATAAAAAGCACAAAAAACTCTACATCAAATAAAACATTTATCAGGTGCATTCTATAGTGCTGTTAAAAGAGTCCACGTTAATGGATTATTAAGTTCAGTGACACGTCCAAAAAATCTATGTACAAAGCTGCAAAGCAACTTTGGATGAGAAAGTTATTGCAATAATCGATTCTTTTGGGGAAGATCTTCCCTCACCAAAGTACGGGTATCATCGAAAATGTGATAAAAATATATACTCAAGGCAAGCTAAAAGTCAAAAAGCATATACGTGAGCGACAGTGAAGGTCAACAAGAAAAACTGATCAGGGAGATTTAATTCACAAATGTCTCTTTATCAGTAAGATGCTAACTAAAATCAAAACTTACAGTTGATTAAGTAACTTATGTAATTATTTGTAGGTAAGATATTTCAAGATAACGAGCGTGGTGGGTGTGGAAGAAAAAAAACCCAGAAAAAGGTTGAAGTGGTTCTGAGAAATTGGAAGAAAGAAAATGTTCTTTTTTTGAATCCAAATGAATCCAAAATCCTCAAAACAAATGAATCCAAATGAATCCAAAACTCAAACAAGTTAAGCAGGGCAAAGCTAAACAGGAGCGAGAAGCTTTGAAATTATACAAGAAGGCCAATATTTCATGATATCAAATCTTGCAGCTCTAATTCAAAGTTCAAAAAGGATCGCACTAAATTGATTGCGTGGCATGAAGAACGAAAGAAAAAGAACGTTTTCTTTGATTTCCAAAATGATATGGCTAAATACTGCTCTCAAGACGTTACCATACTGCTTTTATATGGTTTGCAATTTGGAGAATTATACATCGCAGAGACTAAAGTTGATCCATATGTTATTGTACCATTGCAGCAGCCGTAACGGCAATTTATCTAATAAAATATCTCGAACCAAACACAATCGGAATCTTAGAGAAAAATATGCATCGAAATTCAAATAGACCCTTCTCTCAAAGTGCAATCATGTGGCTTGAAATTGTATCTGCGCAAACTAACTTCAAAGTACAACACGCTCTCAATGGCGTAGAAAAAAATGGAAGATCCGGAATTAGGTAAAGTGTACTATGTCGACGGCTTTTGTGAAGAAACAAACACTTTATTTTCTTTTAATGGCTGTCTCTATCATGCATACCCATCTTGTTACGATTTAAGAAATGACCATCCTTTTTTAATGAGAAACAGATGGTTGACGTATTTGATGGAACAATTAGACGACAAAATAGAATTTTAAAATTGGGCTGTGAGGTTAAGACGATTTGGGAACATGACTATTGCAAACTTAAGGAAACGGACGAAATAAAACATTTTTTGGATACAAATGACATTATAAGGAATCTTAAACCACGCGATGCGTTTTTTGGTGGAAGATAAAACAATTGAATATGGCAGAATGAGTCAAATTGAAATGTTTCCTCTTAACTGCGCAGAACTGACGCTTTTCGATACACTCTTTGCTACTAGGTACAGCGTGTGTTTTATACCCCTTGACGCTTCACTTGTTACACTGTATAATCTTAAAACCGAACTTTGAACCTTGTTTATGCCTTGTAAACTTTCGCTACTTTTCCACTTTTGGGACAAAAATGGCGGCGGGAAGCCGACTGGATCATATTTACCTAAACATCATGCAGAATGCAGACAAAGACACATTTTACAATACAATGCTCTGTCCGCCCTTACTCTGCCTTGGTAAGATCTTGAAATAATCATTTGTACAAACAGGCCAGATCATGTACGAAATTAGGAAGATTCTCCTGAGATCGTTGAAGGAACATAGAGAGACTTCAAAAAGATCATGAGAAGAGCTTGCATTTTTTTGCCATGATAATGTGCAAAAATTTCTCATGTTCGTGCGTGATCTCAGTATGATGTTAGTAGCTACATAGTCTTAGAAAGATCATAGTTAGATCATGAAAAGTTTACGTTAAGAACTTAAAGAGATTCTTATTAGATCGTTCAACATTATGGCAAGATCATGTGTACAATCTTAAGGTGGTCATTCTCCGTCTAAATGACATTTATGTTTCAAAAAATGAAGAAAATATTTTTTAAATTTTGAAACTCTTTTATTGCAATCCTTTATGACCATAAACATAATTTTGTAAGAAGTTATTTTAAAGTAATGGGAAAAGGCAAAAAAAACAACTCTATTTTGATATTTGTGCTTTAGCGACCCGAAATGACTTAGCGACCCGAAACTACTCCAAAAATGCCCCCCCAAAATCTCCATGCTATATAAATGCTCTTCTGATTGCTTTATCGTGAAATCATTGATAAATAGCAGTTTGGGGAATGTTAAAAACTACACACAACACAGCTTTTAATATTCCATAGTTTTTACGTTTTTGTGCGAAAATAGTTTCCTTGCTTAAAAGATCATTTTAATTAGTTTTTGTCGTAATAAATATGAGAAATAAACACAATAGAACCAGATAAAGAGTAAAAATTACGTCTAGAAAAACGGCAAAGAAAGTAAAATATGGCGATCCTCATGTTGATAATAGCAATCCTATTGGTGTCAAATTTGACTTGCATTATAAAGCCGACGGAAGATGCGTAGATATTCTTAAAGCAGGTACGACATTTGTAAATATATCTGTGCTATTTAGAATGTTTCGTGGTTTTATGAAGTGCCCTGATCAAGGAGGTTACACAAGAGCTCACATTGATATAAAAAAGAAAAATGGTTTTTTGTATTATGTCGTTTTAAGAGGTAAGGCGTGATCGGCAAAAGTGTTTTGACGCATCTAAAGAACAGGCACGTTTCATTGAAATAAATATTAAATCTGTCTTACCATTCAGGGAATTTGGAAAAGGCACAATGTAATTTTAACATTTGCTTAGATTTTCAATATGCCTCCACCACTTACTTGAAGGAATTCCAAAGGATATAGAATAAAAAGCTTTTGCCAATTATTCAACAGTTTGCAAATGATAGCATGATAACAATTGCGCATTTGATGTCAAAGAAATTCGTGGAGATGATGCATGAAGGTGAGTGTGGAATATATCTGAATGGCACGTAGCAAAAGAGAGGTCATGATCACATTATGGCATGGTAACTGCCATTTACTTGAAAACAAAGAAGTGTTGAAGATTGAGTGATTTTGTTGAATTTTTCACTTTTTATATGTAATAGCTTGGTGTCGAGTGCAATTTGGTAAAAACATGCACAAGTGAATTTTCAAAGACTGCTTGAAGACTACTTATTTATAATATACATATAAAATTTGTTAATTCTGTTAATTTTTAACTGCAGCGTACGTACATTTCAGCCGGCAAGTTATTAATATTTACCGGCTCGTATATTTCAATTCCGTCTACCATTACTTTCCGTGACGCCATAGCCTCCACACACACCGCTAGAGAAGTTATCTACTTTTAGCAGTGTTCATATTTGTATCCAGAGATATCTTTAAAACGGTGAACTTCAAAATTGTTCGCCAAAGAAAATTTACTCAAAACTTGCATAAGCCATTGTAATAACTTTGCATAGATTAATTTAACTTTCCCGCTTTCCAAATGTTTTATTTTGGTTGGCTCTTAGATCACTTCTTTGTTTGAGTAACCAAGTGACGGGAATTTTGAGTGACGGGAATTTTGTCGTTAAGTTGTTAAGCTTGCTCATTTCTTTGTTTTTTTATCGAATGTTTACGGTGAAATTGTAGTACGCATTTACGCATACGTGAATATTTTAAGCTGTGGCTTCATCCATCGTTTTCAAGCTATTTTCATATGATATTGTAACAGGACCTGGCTGAATTTTCAGCATTACAAACAGGGCTGAAACTAAGCCCGGGTTAAATTGCTCCATGTAATCGTCCTCTTAAAATCATAAAAAAACTTACATGATGGCTCTTTCCACAGTTGAGGAGACGGCTTATTTTTATCATTCGTGTTTTCTGTAATCAAGAAATAGACAAAAAAAACAAGCCTAAATGTGTGTTTCTTAATATCAAAATCAAACTTAAGCATGGACAACCATAGAAAACATAAATATATCTTATTCACATGTAATTATTAAATCTTATTTGAAATTTACTTAACTGAACGCAAACATGTGTTTATTAATTTACTTACTGTTTTGTCTATTTTTTAAATTTTTATTGTAACGGCCTTTCAGGCTTTGCTATGATCTTCCTTCCACAATCTAGATAAATTGAGATCAGACAAATGATATGAAAGAGCTAATCCCCGTTTCAGAAATATTCTTCAAAGCATTACATTTTCTCTTTCCTTGGTTTTCCAAAATTCATTTGTAAATAATTTTCTTTCATCTGCTTTAGTATACATAAGAAGCTTTTTGTCAGCCTCATCTTTGTATAGCCTTAGAAAAATAAATTAATTTTTGACACTATTTATGATCGTAACAATTTGCTCAAAAATTGAATATTTAAATATATAAAAATCACTTAACACTAAATAGTCGAGTGAATAAATGATCATTCAAAATGAATAAGTAACGAAAACTATAGATGTATTGAAAAATATGCATTGACCAGGTTGATTTTTTGTTCCATGTAATCGGAAAAGTCTTAACAAGGAAATAATACAACGTCCGGGGTGAATTTTCATTTTATGTAATCCCTCCTATTACCCCCCCCCCCAGGTTAATTTCGAGGCGCCGTCACTTTGGTAAGAAATTTTCTTTGCCGATTAAATCAACAAGTCTTAAGTCGGTGAATTAAAGAAGTAAGAAAAATTTAGCATAGCCATACAAAAGTCAACTGCATAAATCACGATTATTTAAGTTTGTACTTATTAATGTAACTTAGATACTTCTGCGGCTGGTTGTACGAAAGCCGTTTACAATAAACGACGTTTAGCCGTCATCCAACGTGTATATTCCTAATCCGACAGATAGTAAAACGATGGTTAAAACTGTGATGCATGCACGCCGTTTATCGTAGCGTTTAACTAACTGGGGGCAGGTTGTATGAAATGCGTTTAACTCGTTAACCAACGTTTAAATCGACCTCCATGAAGAGCAAGAAAAGCAAAGAAACTTTAGCCATTAGTTATGACTTGTTTCTTTGTTGTAAAATCGTTATTAAATCAGCGAAAGATAATAATAATAATAATAATAATAATAATAATAATAATAATAAAAGAATAAAATAATAAACTACTATTTGACAATTGTGGACAGTTAACTAGAAATTTTCCCAGGTTTAAAAATAAATTAGTTGATTGTTTAAACATGATAATACGAGGAGTTTTCAAATGAGATGGATAGTTGTTGTTTTTTTTAGTTACTCAGAGTTTACTATAGCAGCCGTCAAAGAATAATTTGTTTGTATTAGTACTATTTAAAGGTATTGACACTTCATAATGACAGCTCCGGTTTGTGTATGTTAGTTTCGACAGAAACAGAGAAGTTGATGTATTATTGCAAGAACTTGTGATTTTGTCTTTATAATGTCTGCTCATTTAAATAGTGGTATAGCATTGTTGTTAAAAAATAACATATTCCTTTTCATTTCCTGCTTGGCTCGCAGGCCGATTCTGTTGAATAAACCTGCATCTTAAGTTCACCTGTCAAGATTTTTTGCAAGTTATTTGTACTTTATTTCCTTTTAAATTTATTATGTTCACATTTTTAAATTTCTTTTGACATTTACTTAACTGAATGCAAATATGTGTTTAATAGTTTACTTTATATTCTGTCTCTTTTTTAATTAATTATTATATCGGTTCCTCAAACTTCGCCAAGATCTTCTTTCCACAATCTAGATAAATTTGAATCAGACAAATGATATCAAAGAGCTAATACCCGTTTAAGAAATGTTCTTCAATGCAATACATTTTCTCTTTCCACGTTTTTCCAAAACTCGTTTGAAGAAACTTTTCTAATATTTTCTTTTATAAACCTTAGAATTTTTTCGTCTTCGTCAGCTGTATATAATCTTAAAAAGATAAATTAATTTTTGAAACTATTTTTTTCCTTTTTTCTTATAAGCTCTTCATCCTTCAGTAAAGCTTATTCAATTTGTGAATTAAGACGAGCATGTTATCTTTATCAGTTAAGCCAAAATTGAGATTTTATGTTAAGGTTGTCGAGGAGTCCTTTCTGGCTTCAAGTTGTAAATAAAGCTCCAATTTACAAAAGCAATTGTTCATGTTCCATTGTACTTTAATCTTTCGTAATGCTCTATGTGATGATTAACTTAGACTTATTCTAGAATAATTACAACCATTATTGTATATTAAACATGGATTAATCAATATTCGTTTCATTTCTCGATGATTGTCCTTGTGTCCTTTAGTTCCTAGTCAGCTCTTCTATTTCTTATTTTTGTCTCTTACACTGAAGTTTAGTTTTTATTACTTGCAAAATAGTATTATAAAAGAAGAAAAAGTCATACAACCTTTCTTATCCTCTCCAAGAATTCCGTAGGTCTGTAATTAAAAAATATCGCATTAATAACATCATTCTAATGTATTTAGCTCAAACATGTTTAACTATCTTATGTCTATTATTGTTAAACAAAATTTTGCTTAAACGACAATTTTGCGTTTCAATCAATAATAAAAAAAGAAGAACGGGAGTAGACTGATGCATTGAAAAAGCGTAGGAGGTCATTATTTGCCCTTTTATTAAGTGTCATTTTTATATGCTTGACATGTATTACTATGAAGCACAAAGGGAAAAGTATGTCCTCAAAGAGCCAGCTTTGGAAAAATACTAGCTAAGAAAATGTTATAAATGAACTATTACCATCATTAAAATTTAGAAAAACCCGTCTGCGTTTTAAATAGTTGGTGAGTTATGCATGTTCTTAGAACGTCTGTTCGCTAGATGCTTGACGACGTATATTAGGCTTTATTCATTACATTAAGATCGATAAGATAGTGGTATTTATTGAAAATATACCGTCTTACGAATTTGATAAAAAGTCCATTTTCCTTTTAAGGACAATTTTCTTTCACTAGTATTTATTGTCATCTTGCTGGTTTGGCAGTTTATCTCATGTTCTTTTGCATCGTTTAGATAGCTAAAGCCAACACACTGTTTTTGTTGAAGACAATTCATAGAGCATTAATGAGACTGTCGACAACAATACTTGAAATTATATCTTTTTCTGCAACAGTATAGCCTTTTAACGATAGTTGAACAAAATATGCAACATTTAGTCATTATTAAGTCAGTTTCCAATTTATTGTAATTTATTTATTCAAAAAAATATCAAACTTACAGCAGTTAGTACTTTATACTTTTAGTTTTTGCTTATTTTAGATGTGATAATTGTTATACAAATTGAAATAATACATTTCGCTACGACATTTAAATACATTCAGAATAAAAAATGTGACGAAAAAAAAATTTACAGCAACATCATTGTAAGACTTGACTTAAAATAAACCAAGTAAATCGATTTAAGTCTTTGTTATCTTTTATGTTATAAACATACCGCTAACTTTTATTTTCATGAAGACACTTTGTGAACGTTGGCAAATGTCATTCGAGGTGTTGCAAGCAGGAATTATCAGAAAAAGGGCAAAGATATAAATAACCATCTTTCAGAAAAAATTAATTGGTAAATTCCAAGAAATTTAAACTTTTCGAAATTTTTTTGTCACAAATTGATTTGCAATTAATATCAATGATTATCTTCAGACAATGCTTAGGCTTTAATCTAGACTTGTGTATGGCAAATTGTGAAGTACAACTATATAAATATTTTGTAAGCTATTTCCTTATTAAGTCTTCGTTTTGTTATATGATGTTAATATTTTATAAAGCCACCTGGACTGCATTAACTATTTATTATCCATGATTTTTTGAGAAGAGTCATTTAGACATCTTTTACCTCCTTCAAGCTGCCTAAAGAATGGTCTTTTTTCGCTACAAAATTTATTATTGTTTTTTCCTTGTATGCCTTCGGTTTGCAAGACCAAACATTTACAACTTTGGTCGCAGGTCCTTGATCTTGTCTATGTTTGCCATACATCAGAAGCTTTCTTCTTAAAATTTGTATTGTAAAACCACCATTATATCAACTTAAAAAATAACTCAATGTCTTATACATCTAGATTTTGTTAAACAACTCTCAATTGCAGTGTAATTGACTCAAGGCAAACATAAATGGCCACATCTAGTTTTTCCACAAATGTGCAAAGAAAAGGTGCAATTTTGAAAACATGAAAAAATTTTTTCTTGGAAGGTGCAACTTTGAAATGGTGGTCATAAACTTTGGTAAAGCTAAAAATTCTTCCCGACTTATGTACTCATGCTATTCTAGGACAAACATGGAAAGATGAGGACGAGAGTTTGACCATCCATTATGACTGTGTTATCTTTGCTGTAAAACTCTATGCTGAAACAGCTTTGAACGCATTTGCCTTGTGTTAATACTTAACCGATTTTCTACTAAATATCTACTAAATCTAGGAGATATATTCTTGAAGACTATATTCTATTACATTTGAAATACAACAGCTTTTCAATGAAAGTATACTCGAGCCAAGTGAGTCAAATAAGAGAGCTCTAGAAATTGTGAATAAGAACAACATGCACAAAAATGGTGATCAATAATTTACAAACTAATAACAGGTTCACACAAGTGAATGGATAATTTTTGACTAGAGTAAATAAAATTATCGTGAAATTCGTTCAGTATAATGTTCTTAGCACCATTGATTTGACAAGTGCTCATCATTAATTACAAATTCAAGTAGAAGAAAAGAAATATACTTCTTTTGAAGTAAACAAACGTTTGCATAAATTTTATCGAATTCCGCTTAGATTAAAGAAATAGAGCAAATGTTTTTACGGAAAAAATGGACAACCTTATTTTAGGAGAACGTCTAGATGACAATTTAAAATAAATCCATAACATCACGATTTGTTGTCAAAATTAAGTTCATCACGACAGAAATGTTGAAAATTTCCTATATGCAGTGTGAAAACACTGTTAAATTTTGAAATTTAAATCGTCTAAAACCCCAAATACCATAATGATGTTTTTAAAAGTAATATTTAGTGTTAATTAGTATTATATGAAATAATTCCGTTTTGGATTATAAGCAATGATTTATTTTCTGTTTAATAGAACAAAAGACCTTTTATGTTAATCTGTTAATGTGCAACTTTATATTAATCTGTAACTCTATTAATCTCCCTCACATTTATTAAGAAAACTTATTACATGTTCGTATATGCAGATTATCCAGGTTAGTAGAGTCCTGAGAAGACTGTTTTTGCTTTTGTTGACTGTAGTCTGTCCAGAAGGCCGTTACAATTCTTTATTCTTGCTTTCATTTGATTAGTCATGACCACTACAAAGAGGTCTGTTTGAATATATAACACATGTAAAAGCTCAGCGATTTTCTTCTTTGCCCTTACCTCTTTCATTTCATTTTAAGCTGGATGTCTTTACGTTGTGTTTGTGACTTTAAAGAGTTCACATAGCCAAGTTCTGTTTGTGTAGTATAAATTTACAAATTGCTATGTACGAATTGGTCTTTTATTTCTTACAATACCCATGTCATGAATAGAATTCATTGAATCTTACAAAGAATAGAGAGTGTCAGCAAATCATTGGCCATGCTATATTGACTTAGCACTTCCATAAAGTCAATCTTTCTTTGTGTATCAATTCGTGGTATCAACTCTCCCGAAAGCTTTGAACACACGATGTTGTTTACAATTTGGGTATAAGCTTTCCCTATACGATGATAAATGTTTGACTAAAGGACATGCACCTGTTAAAAAATTGATATGTTCTTAAGAATTTGTTTAATAAATTTCTTTCAAAAATCATAACAGATGCACATTTTTTAAAGTAAATGATGATGGGCATAGTCCGCGCATAAATATTAGGTGGTGTGTCCCATTTCTTTACAAGCTAATATTTTTGTTAAGGACGCTTTGTTAGTATTTTTCTTCATTCGTTTTCACATGTATTATTTTTTGAAGCAGGTACTTTCTAAAGGACATGTAGCTGTTGAAAAATTGATGTAAGATTATTCCGCATACAGAAAGTCACTTGACGATAATGGTTCTTTGTCAACATATGTACAACAACAAGCTCTAACCGTGGAATGGTTCATATTCGTTTTGAGAACCGCCATTTAGAACATACAGTGCTTTTAGTGAGGTTATATTCCTGCTCCGTTACTGCATAAACTACCGCAGATACACAATCCTTGCTAGCATGTCCAAACCCGGGCAAATAAATAGACCGTACGGGCACACGAAAAGGTATTAGTTGACGGTTGAATGGACATGCAATAGGCAATCCGTTGTACCAATAACGCCACAACTTTTCCATGACGTCATCAAACTTATGATCTTAAGATAAATGACTTTCACACATTTTCCGATAAAGCAGTTTTCCTGTAAGAGTTGTAGGAGATATAATCCATTAGATCGTAAATCTTAGAAAGTTGCGACAATGCCCCTCTCTTGGTTCTCACTGCGTTTTCTTCTTTTTCAACGATAACACTGAACGAATATTTCTGTTGTTTAAAGGTAGGCCCAGTATCCTTGCTCCCGTGTCCACTGTACAGAGTTGTTCTTTTACATAAGTTGCGTTTGGTTGATCTATGTCTTGTTCTGGTAGATCATGGTTAGATTTCTCCAATTCTGCAGCATTGGAATGCCATTTATGGAGCTTGAAGATCGCGTCGCTAAAAATCTCTATTGTTTTTTCTTCTTTAACAATACCTCGTTAACATTCGTGCCACCTTCCATATGGTCATCAACGTAAAGAGCGTCCTTAATCTCACATACAAAAGCTGGATATGCATTTTTCCTTGATGTCAAGTGCTCGTTCAGAACTCCACCATGAAGAAATGGCCAACATGTTAAGCCAAACAATGCTCTTGTAAAATAAGCTCAACGTTATCGATACAAGACTGCATAACATCAACGAAGCAAGCCATATAAAGCCTTATATTCTTGCACAGAGTAAAAAAGATCTGATGATATCTAAGTCCCAACAGTAACTTGACTCAAGGTCTACAAAACAAGGCAACAGCAGAACAGGGTGAAGCGCTAAGTAATCGAGACAGCCAAATTTCAATGAAACAAGAATATAGAGTTTGCATATGACGTCAAAGCTGCCATGTTAAAAGTCTCCATCAAAGTTACAATGCTTAATAAAGCATGAAATTAACAAAAATTCCTTCCACTATATGGAATTTTCCTCCAACTATGTGACCGATAAAAACATCCTATAGTAAATGCTACAACTCAAGCTAAATGGCAGTACAGCATAAAAACTCATTCCAGTCAAATCTAAGGCAGATATAAGATATAAACAATCCAAGTAAGACAACTGAATGCAGACGAAACGAAATGTATAATACAAGGAGTAACAGTGCAATAGGAGAAAAAACAGATAACCCGAGAAGCAATCAACTGACACAGAGAGCATCACAAAGAACAGAAGTGTGTTAGAATCAGAGCCCTGTATTTGTAAGAGTTGGGACACGTATTGTTTTCTTCGTTTTGCATTATGATCACGGTGATTTGGTGGATATGGTCAGATGGGCATCTATCACCATTTATGTTCCAAAAGCGTCAATTATAACTATTTTTTACATAGGAGATTACAAAAAATGTTTACAATGATTTTATGTGGCGTTGTAATAGTGCCAATCAAAGTGATGAATAGAAACATACGCGTTCCCATTTGGCAAAAGCAGTATTAAAGGCGTATAAATTGCATCCACTGTAATAAATAAACGATTTCCATAGATGGAGATCGCTGTATATAGCTTAATAAGAAAAACAACAGAAAAAAATTATCTCCCACCATTTAACGCTGTATATTTACATTAGCTTCGCCCAAATGAAGACCAGGCTACGCAAACTTTGTCAGAAAATATGACGCTCAGAGGCACCAATAAAGGCCCGTTTCAATTAAAAAAACTTTCCACGAAAGGTAAATTTTCGTGTTTGCACATGCGTTTGGTAATGCAAGAGATACGATCAAATTTTCCAGTGGAAAAAACTTGATTGTTTATTGAAGTAGAAATTTTTCAATTTTATGTATTTAGTCCGGTTGAAAATAAGCAGTCTGTTAATCAGGTCACAGATGTAAGAAATAATTAGCAGAAAAACATGAAATCGTTTGAAAAGTATTGGTGGTCTACAAGTCTTATTCTTGAATAAAAGTGACAACTTCGCCGTTAGTGATTGTTTCAGCCAACATTCGTCGTACAACATTTTCTCGTACTTATTTGTGTTTAGAAACTTCTGTTGTAGCGGTTTCTCCACAGCAAAATTTGTAATATAAATCTATTCGAATATTCCATATTTATTTCCACACTGGCATGAATGGAAAATGGAAATCATTGCTGAAAAAACAAATATCTCTCAACTTTCTTTTCCAAGCAAAATTTTCGTAAGTGGAAAGAAGCCATTGCAGACTTCGTTAAGACTTTGAACTTTGCAGATTTTTTCATTGGCTGATCGCTATCAACTTGTTTTTTTTTTTTGATATCTTTAAAATAAAAATTGCAGTATTTTTTTTGGTTACTTTCCTCGTAACAATAGGCAGCTCGTACGAGGGAGGCCTTTTTATAACTCTCGGTGAAGGAACTTTATTTTCGCCACTTATTGAATTATCAAGATGGGCGACATTTTATGAGTATAGCTCAGTCAAATGTGAAACTTGATTGCTTGATTTAACTCTTAGACCAAAAAATTTTATGAAAGTTGATCGCTACGGTTCACGATAGAAAAATTAGCTTATTTATTGTCATTACTTTTTGCTTCGTCTTATGCAATGGTTATAAAGACCTTTTTCACTACAATTGCAGGACTTATGCTTGTTGCCTCATAACTATGAAGAAATCATTGGAGAGTTAGGTGACTTAATATACATGATTAATTTTATGTAATGAAATTTCATATTAAATTCCGAAGACGGAAGCAGCTTAAGAGATGAGTATATTTCACAGATAAATAAAAACAAATAGCATTGTATACGAATCTCTAAGTAACTTTCTCTGGGGCTATAAACTGTAATAGTTCTTTTAATTTTTTTTGTGTATTGTCAAGGTTAGTTCACTATATAAATGATTAATGCAGCTTTTAGTTCAATAATAAGTTTAATGAAAAATTGGTAGTGCATTTTTTAATTTCCTATGAGTATCCACATCTGGTGTCGTGTACTTTGGGATATATTATAGTAAAGCAATAAAACCAAACGAATTAAAAACATTTTGAGCACTTTTATATAGCAGGAAGTTAAGCTATTTCGAAATTATCAATTTATTTTATTATATTAGCGTTGTATACCACCACAGTTCAGGGAAAGAATTTAGGAACAGAATATTGAAGAAAAATCATGAAAAGTCAAACATTTTCTTTAATTAAAACTATAGTTTAGTTAGTTCATCAGCTCAAACTGTTTTTATAGCAAAAACTCAAATTATGAAGAGATATATAGTACTGTAACTTTAGAGGTTTCGTCGCTGAATTTTAACGCTTCAATATAGCATGCTATATAAATATTATCAACATTTAAACCAAACACTACTAAAAAAATTATAAAGTCATGACATGATTTAACGGTATTATTCACACAATCTTTCTGATCTTTTTACATGCTTGTGAGTTAACATTTCGTCAAACATCAAAACACGCACAATCTCCGAGCCAGCTTTCTACGGTATTTGAAATTTACTTTCAAATCCTTCAGGGCATCCTTAGTATATTAGTTGTATCCATTAGTAGTAAAAAATTAGAACATGATCAAATAACTAAGCCTAGTAAAGGCAGCATGGTCACTAACACCTTCCAGTTGTTTTTATCATCATACATGAGATAGTGCTTGTAATGCACAACGTTCAAGATACCCTTTTCAACATGTTCTCTCTTCATGTTGTCAGGAAAATAGATCAGAACGAAATCAGCTCAACATCTTGGGTACTGTTTGAGCAGGGCGGATCTAAGGCATGTCAAAAGAGACATGCAAATCACTTATATTTTCTTGAAAAAATATTCCTTTTTAAATACAAAGGTCAGCAAATTGGCGAGTAATTCCGTATTTTCTTTTTTATAACTGTTAAGCGCATAAATCTTGGACCATTTAGTGACTATATCCATTTTTTTGAGTGGCCAAGGGTAATTGAATTATTCTTGACTTCATTTGCAACTAATATGCTGATGACCGATATGCTCGAAAAACATGAATGGGCAATTTCGAATGAAGCTAGAGTTAGTCTGGGTGAATTAAAATTGTCCTTGCGTAAAAGGTATGTTGGGTGAGTCGTAGAGTTAATCGAACGATCAGCAGGTCGATTTATTATATAACAAAACGACATTAAAAAAGGATTTGTATGGTGAGGTTTGTTTATATGCCTTTGAAAGATTTAGGTTGTAAATAAAGTGTTTGCACAGCTATAAGGTATAAATGTTTCAGTCGTGATGCAGTATTTGTTCGATGTTGTTTAATATAGACTATTTAATTTTTGTACTTGCTGATCAGATTCTTTTGGGACTTGCCAGTATAGTTCTGTGTCACTAATGTTCTCAATTGATAACAAACTGGTGAAAATATTAAGGCTGCTGACTTCTATAGAGCTGTTTAAAAACGCCAATATTCACTACAATGATTAATTACTTTCAACTTTTGATAAAAACCATACTGAATATTTCAATCACAGCGTTGAAAATGTTTGCCTCAGTCTGAATCGCAGGAATGCATACTTGGATTCTGTTTGACTAGCAAAGATTTTGTTAAGAAAATCATTCTTGAACTGCCATGACAAGTAGAAGTGATCATTTTTTACTTAATTGAAAGATCAATTCATTCATATTATCCTGATCATGAGAAGCTCAAAATGCAATGTAATCATCGAGGTCTTTAATTCATCCTAAAAAAATATTAATCAATGGCAAATCTTATTTAGTTATAAGGTCCAGTTTTATACACATTTTCAAATGAAGTTTTCCAATATTCTGCTATTCAGGCAAGCTTCAACCAGGAAGCTTTGAATGCAATTTGGATGACGTTTTACAATGCTTTGAGCAAGAACTTGAAAGCTTTCAAACTGAAATATAACGAAAACATCCACTTAGACGCATTTGAGTTATTTTAGCGCAATTTGATTCAGGAAGAAAGAAGTTGGTAAATTCTGGAACATAATGTCTCTCCCATATTACTACTACAATTTGAATCAATGATAGTAATACAATGAATTTGTGTAAGCACTTTCATTTTAAGTTGTTTTCAGTTACAAACATGAAGTTTGAAGGTAATTTTTTCTAGCTTGTATAATACCAATAAATATGAAGATGTTGTTAACTTGTGTCTATGTGCACCTCTTATAAAGGCAAGGTATGCTTGACAACTGAGCTCACCCTAGATATAGTGATTCACACATCAATTTATAACTCAACAAGAATTTTTTGGGAAGACTTATGAGTTTTCTTGATCTTCCAACAATTACCAAAGTTTATGAAGACATTGCTGAAATAAATCGAAAAAATACATAAGGATGTTAAGAATATATGTAGAAAAAACTAAAAAAATGATTGAGTCAAAAAAATACTTAAAAGCTTATCAGCAAAATCTTTTCAACATGACAAAAGATATGTAAAAAAAATTAAAAAGTACGATCCGTTAGTTGCTTGAAATGGTTAATATTAAATATCTGCAAGCCAGTGCATTCACATTCCTTTTTTATAAGGTAACGAAATATCTGAGAGGTGACACTTTGACTGCCAAAGACCACCATGTTAGTGTTTCCAGTAGTGCTGAAAGATTTTTAAGAAAAGAAAGGAGAATGTGATTTTGGGATTTGAGCGCAGATACATTTTATCATTCATTCATTTTGTAGGAAAAGAATGCAAAAAATGAGGACATCATTTAACTAAAAAACATTAAAGTTGTAAAACAATTCCTAGAGAACTCTTTTATTTGAAATGTAATGGCTTTAAAGCTTGAACACTTCCTTTAAAATATACAAACAACTGCCTGAAGGGTTCCTTAACCTTGTTTGTATTAGCAAATTGTTGCTAACAACTGGTAATTACTTCAAAATAAAAAATGCATATTGATGAAATGGCAAAACCTAGACCATTAAAAAATTTAATTTAATGGTAGCTGATTTCATGTTTTTTAAGAGTTGTGATACACGCTTTAACCAAAGATGCCATAAACCTAAGATTGCTTATAGTTTTTTTGTAAACAATCGATTATTACTAAAGTTTTTGTTTTCGTAGAAATAAAGAAAAATATTAACAGATGTGCCTAATGTTTTGCAGCTTGAGACAAGAACCTTGCCCTGTAAGCAAATGCCTTAATTACTTTGGTGAGCTTTATCTCAATCTTTGGTGAGCTTTATTATCAAGAACAAATTTTCATAGGGATTCACTATAGCTTGATGGTTTCGGACAAGTTACATTATTTATTGACTCATTAGTTTTGCAGAGCTTGTGGAAGACATAGTATGATAAAAAACCCAGTTGTAATTTTTTATGTGCTGTTGTTAAACGAAGTTTTGTGTTTAATTTTGTTGAGCCAACTTTCTTATAGTAAATGATATTTCAAAAATATATTAATAACAGAAAATTTTTTTGTGTGTAGTTTTATAAATATGAAAAAAATGAACTTCGATTTTTTAGGCATGGAAATAAACATTTTCCAAATTTTGGCACTAAAATAATTTAACTAAGATGCTTAAAGAAAAAATTTTTACTATGTTTAAGCTTATCTTAAAATATTCAGTGTGGCTAAATAATGAATGGCTCCATTGATGCTGTCTTCCTCAAGAGGGCGAACATATAGGGAAGCAAATCGCAGTAAATATCTGAATTATCTCTATTTACTTCAGCCAGTAGACGTTCAATCCTTTGATTGTGAATGCTTCTGCCTGCAATGAAGCTCCATCTGCTCAAACCTAGCTGGTAGTTTATGTATTTTACGATCGCTACATTTTCTATTCCACGATATCCACGCACCATCTTACGAAGACCACACCCTTCCACACCAGATTCAATCTAAGTAATGATTCTGCCATAATAAACCGAGCATACAAAATGGCAATATGCTTCAATTAATGGGCATAAATTTAAACATTTTGCTTTTATGAATGAGTTGTAGAGGTTTAAGACATAACAGAATTTTTTAAACGACGCACGTGGCTCAAATCTCAGCAAGTTTTATCAACTTAAAATAAATGCAACGGACACACAATTTTGATCAACACAAGTGATATTTCTGTGTTTTGAATTAGGAAAGTTTTGCTGATGGTCAATGAGAGTGTAGAATGGTAAGGCGATAAAGGAATAAAACATTCCACTTGATATCGTACGATCTCGAAATTTTCAAGCTTTGAAACGCTTTGATCTATGACTATCAGCCATTCTTAGCAACCCGATATAAGTTGCTGTATTGAATCCATTGAGCTAAAATACATAAAACGCTACGTCGCTACCTAAAGCAAATAATTGAAGCTAAATCCTACAGCTAGACACGCCAGATTTCTCCCCAGACACGCGTGCGTAGTGTTTCAAAATTTTCTCGCGGAATAATAGTTGATCATACGTGATGACTACACACGCGTGTTTGGTGTAAAATCACGGCTTCAAAAAATTATTTCTGGTTGGTGTTACAGGTTGCTTTTCATGTATTTTAGCTTAATGTTTTAATTAGTTGAATGTTTGAGTGCAGGTTCCAGGTCACAAGTGTACTCAGACATATTGCCTATATAGCAAGTCATGTCAGTTACAAGCATCAATCTAGAATTTACAACTCTCACTTCAAGTGATTTATATCAGAGTTGAGTGACACCGGTGATTTTTCACCCAATTATGTTATAAACAGTAATTGCGAAAGCAAAAGGTAACTTAGCTAAGTGAGATAAATAGATATCCCTTAAAGGCCCACAACTTTGTCTTAGCGTACAGGCCCCATATTTAGCAATCTTCTATTATTCCTGCCATTCAATACTCCTGCCCTTTTCTTGTTCCAGTGACCCTGATCACAAATACAAGTTAATAAAAACGATCGATTTTTACACCAAGCCAACTATCAAGCCATTTGAATTTTGTAAGCAATAAACATATTCAGATTTGTTTTGCTAAGTATGTTTGTTGGAATATAACAATTTTACTATTCATGCTAGCTACATTATCCCTAAGCAATTACTACTTTCAAGGCATTCATGTTAGCTACGATTAAAACACATATTTCTTTATCAATATGTAAGAATTTTTTGCCGTTCAAGAGTTAGTAATGTTGATAATAGCAATGTTCTACAAAGTACTTTAATGATGTAGCCTGCCTTTGGTTAAGTGCAAAATAGTCAGAAAGTCTTACAATGTATGCAAATCTTAAACATTAAATTCAAAGAACCAATATAGCAATTTCAAATCAAGCAAGCTGTAGTCACTGCACAAAGACAAAGTTCGATATTCAAGCAGGGTAAATTCACTCCACGTAATTATGCTGTAATTACGTGTACTATATAATAATGAAACCTTTTGCAAAAACCCTAACTATTCCACAATATTGCAATAAAACACCTTAACATCGCATGGGGAACAACAATGAAACCTTAAAAATAAAACAAAAAATTCAAACAAGATGTAGCAGTGGAGAGAGAAACTACCACAAAACATTACCGAATTTAAGTCTTTTATCGACTGAGCTAACTACAATACCATTGAACTTGCATACTAAGACTGAATGAAGTTTTAACAAGCATTTTCTAAGCAAATTCAGGCCTCACTAAAAAGCTCGATATATAGTTCAACTAACAAAACAACGAAGAACAAAAAGCTATCAGAAACTTACGAAACGACAAGGACATAGTCATACTACCAGTCGACAAAGGACGCAAAACTGTAATCATGGACGAATCAGACTACATCAACAAAGCGAAGACCCTCTTACAAGACACCAACACGTTATAACCTCACAAACAGATCCCAACAAAACCACTACCAACCGCATCAACAAGAAATTAAAACAACTAAAAGACAAAAAGAAATTTAACGAAACCGTCTACAAAAGAATCCGACCCAACGACTCCTCCACCGCCAAATTCTATGGACTACCAAAGATTCACAAAGAAAAGAACCCGCTACGACCAATTTTATCTCTTCCTGGATCTCCTGCGTATGAACTATCAAAATATCTTTCTAATATTCTGCACCAACTAGTCAAATCATCACATCATACTATCAAAAATGCCACAACTATCCTCACCAATATTAAAAATTTTAAACTAAAACCAGGCGAAATCATGATATCTTACGATGTAGTGTCACTTTTCACTTCCATACCTCTAAACATAGCCAAACATATCTTAAACGAACTACTTATCAATAACTACTCGTGGAAAATCTCAACCGAACTAGACCAAGACGATATCATCGACCTGCTCGAGCTCTGCCTCTCCACTGAATTCTCCTTCCAAAATTCATATTACCGACAAATCTCAGGAACACCAATGGGTTTTCCTTTATCCACGTTCCTTGTAGAAGCTGTTATGCAACACCTTGAAAAACTGTCAGTCACCAACAACACACGCATCAGACTATAGCGAAGATTTGTTGACCACATCTTTGCTATCGTCGAAACAGACAAAACAGAACACATTCTACACACAATAAACAACACCACACAGAACATAACCTTCACCATGGACTAAGAACAGAACAAACAACTTACTTTCCTAGATATTCTACTCGCAAGATCACATGACGGCACATTGAACACACAAGTATTCCGCAAAAATACACACACAGACCAAATACTCAACTTTAATAGCAATCACCCAACACAACACAAAATTAGTTGCATACAATTTCTCTTTAACAGGATTAAAAGACATTGCAATACAGAAGAAGCCAAGAAGAATGAACGCAACAACTTATACTCTACTTTCATAAACAACAATTACCCACGAAACTTTATCAACAAAGTATTAAACAAAATACACAACAAACCAAAAAACTGAAAAACCTAACGAAGATGCAGACGAACAAGTAAAAATAGTGACATTACCATATATAAACGGAACATCAGAAATGACATCAAGACTACTCTGACCATTCAAAATAAACATCCCACATAAAACAATACACAAACTCAAATCATACCTCACTAAGCATAAAGACCGAACAACGACATTTGACACAACCAACGCGATCTACATGATACCATGTAAAGATTGCCCCAAACAGTACATAAGACAAACATCCAAGAAAATCGAAACAAAACTCACTGAACACAAGAATACCATCAAATGACGCGACCCAAAATCACTACCAGCAGAACATACCTACTATACTAACCACAAATTTGACTGGACAAAAACACAACTTCTTGGACGCGCACAGACAAAACACGCACGAGACTTCAAAGAGGCATGGTACAGCAAAGACAACAACAAAATAAACAGACATAGTGACATCCCATCATCTATTCACAACTAAAGACAAAACCAAAACAACAAACTAATAACACAACGACTAAAATAAAACACTCGAATTTCATTAACGCACTCCATAAACCCGAAACCATGACAACGCATCTTATACCATCCAATAATATCAATTCAACTACTAACCAACCAATCAGACGCTCCAAATGCCTACAAAATCTTTCCAAATACTATATTCTTACATTCTGACGAAGGCTCAAAACACCGAGTTGAAAGTTTAATAAAAAATTTCAAAATAAAAATCCAGAGAATCCTTAATATTATTATAATATGCTTGGGTTACTAATTTTCAAATATTTATACATATATATATTGAAAAGAAGAAGAACATACACAAAAACTACAATTTTATCCCGACAAGCCTGTTTTGTGATTTCTCGCTCTTAAGGGGATAATACTAAATGAATACAAAAGCATGTGCTAGATTATATATACAACAGGAAGTTAGGGTAAAAATTGAGATAGAATTACATAATATATTCAGTGTACGATTACAAATTGGATAAAAGTGCCTTGTTTTTATGGCGACAAGAGGAGATAAGTTCGTCACGTTTGTTGAGTGATGATAGTTGTGAATGGTAGTTAATAAAGAATTTTTCTTTCAGATATAGGTTGCATCTTTTGTTTGCGCTGTTATACGGTTTGACGTGAGTAATGATGTTCCATGAGATATCGTGAGCGATGTTGTTGTGTTTTAGTGTCCATATTTAATTAAATTCAATTGGGTAAAATGTCTTTTATTCTTTTCATTTCTTTATCATGATAATAAAAATAATCACCCATTTTTTCTATAAATATTTCAATACTATCTTTTCAGCTGATTATCATCCGTTCATCGCATAATTTGAAATTAAATTTTCTTCCATCTTCAATTTCTTCATCAAAAATAATCATTCCACCAACATGAATAAAATTAGATATATACTCTGATTTCATAATAGCTTGACTTAAATCTTTTTCTTCATCAAAATCTTCACCACACTCAAATATAAAAGTGATACTTTGATTTAAAAATTTTCCATCATCATTTAGACAGCAAGACTTTAAATCGCAAATAATTCTTTTATAGAAGATTTCAACATTTATCACTGGCAAAAAAACCCGTTTGTTTCTTGTATAAAAAGGTAAGAAATTCAAATTTTTTTAAAAAATAAAAAAGAAAAGAAATAAAAGATAAAAGATAAGAAATGTTAATTTTTTCTATTATTTACTAAAAATGTATTCTATAAATCCTTAATATCATTTTAAGGGAAGATAAACATATTGGTATTGAATGAAGAAAGATGGAAAAAAATGACATATATGATGCGCATGAACCTTTCCAAAAATAAAGGTGGATTATTTGGAAATCCGAGATTTGGAAAGTCAACATTTTGTGAAATCAATAATTTTACTTCAAATCATCTTTCTCCTTTAAAAAAAGTAAACAATCGTGTTGTACAAATTGTATCCATTGTGAAATTAAATCTTCTGTCGAATCAAAAGTTTTTTCTTGAAATTAACAAAATAATACCAGCAATAAATGATGAAATAAATAAAATGGAAGAAAAACTTGCAGAGAAAATTCATGAATTTATAATCTTCTAAGAATGGAATTTGAGTTTAATACAAAAGACATGTAGGAGAAAATAGAAAAAGATATAAAAAATTAGAAAAAGACATAAAATAAGATTTTTTTACATTAATTTATTAGAATAAAGTCATAAAAGCAAGATTTTTTACATAGTAAGAAATTATCTTATAAAAAACGTGATTCTAACATTTCTGGTTATTTGATCATTTTCGATGGAGAGGAAATATTGTTCAAACAAGTGTTATTGCCAAAAGTTCTAGTTATATGATGTCGATAAAAATTGATAAATGCATCAAAACTAAAAATAATTGATAAATGCATCAAAAATACTAAACCATTGAACTGTATTAACTATTTTGAACAGTGACGTAGCTAGCGATACTGTAAACTGGAAAATGTAGCATAAAGTCCCCAACAGCTGGCCGATCAAGAGCAAGAAATACAACTCTATCGCATTGTATTTATTTGTGTATTGTTCTTTACATGTATTATCTTTATTGATTTTGATAAATGACCATCAAGTGTCTGGACAGCTAATGATGTTAGGAATTCATTAAGGTCGAGAGAGGAAACTGGATTTGGTTACCGTAGTGAGCAAGATCAACGCTAAGTTTCCCAAAGTGTAGAATTGCTCTCTGAACATCAAACAATCAAATTGAAGGATTCTCCGTTATATCTTAGTCGTGCATTATTTTATCCTACTTGTTATATTATACACAGGTTATATCTTAGTCGTTCATTATTAACATTGCCTCTTATATTTATAATTTATTTCCTAGTAACAGCACTGATTTGTTATATACATGCAGTGAAAAAGAACTGCTTACCAACAAAATAGTTTATTGGGTTAACATTGAGATGAAGTGCCAAAACATAAGATTTAAGTTAAACAAAAAAAAATATAGTACCTCTAATAACTAAAGGATGTTCGTCATTTTTTGATTACAGCTTTCTATATAGGTTAAAGAACATGTTCAATATGTATATAAAGCTTTGACGGAGATAATATTTTTTGATTTTTAATATCCAGCATTACTAGAAAACCCCAGGCATTCTTTTTACTTACTGTATAGCTTTATTATAGCTAATCATATGTATATTCCTGGATTGCATCCGGGACTAGCTGGGCTGTTGGTACAATCGTGATTGGTCGGGATATTCGTAATTTAAGTTGTGTCAGACTGACTTCTTTTAAAAGTAACTATCTTTTTAAAAAAAAATCAATTGGGCACAACCGAATATATGTGAAAATAACCCATCCCCCAAATTAGCGTTCTAGTCGCGGCTCTCAACTAGTCGAAAACAAACTATTTCCAAAAAAACTGTTGTTTCAACGATGTGGTTAAGGCGAAGATTGGTACTAATTTTGTTTGAAAAAAATGATTTGCATGAAAATCGCATTGCAAATTCAGCCTAGTAAGTCCGCCTCTCCATCGGGGACCTTAGCCTTTATTTCGGGGAATTTGTTGCGCCCCCCCTGGAGAAGACATGGGTAAGAAAATATTAAACGCATGCGCTGCCATTCCATTTTCTCTTTATTAAATTGCTTTATTTCTTAATAAGGGGCTTTCTATAAAGCCTTTGGAGGATTTGATCGCTAGCATGATGACCTACATTAATGTACTAAAACATTTAATACATGTAGTAATGTATGCATGCTCTCGACAAGGATGGCGTGGAAGACCGCTGTGTTATTGCTCAACTTAGAAATAGGAAAATTTGCAATTTCACCAACATATTTTACTAAAACTAGGGTTCTATCACAATTTTATTGGTTGTAACTATTGCACAAAGTAAAAATTTTTTGGTCGTTTTAAATCATTAGCGGATCTAGCGTTCATCAAAATACTTTACGTCTTCTCAATTTCATACTCAAAATACCTTCAGTTTGACATCACGCTGTATATAATATACACTAAGTCTTAATGTCTAAGTCTCCTTTTTACTAGTGCTGACCATGTGCAACCCTTTCTTACCTATTTAAGCCACAAGCACACCAATATTAAGTTTTCGAGTGAAATTGAACACAATAGAAAAATACCATTTCTTGACATCACTATTCATCGCTCTAATGGAAACTTCTTCACGTCCATATACAGAAAACCTACGTTCACTGGTCTTTTTACTAATTTCCACAGCTTCATCCTACTAACAAATAAACGCAGTTTAAT